CGATACTACGTGCCGCAAAATGCCCTTCTCACACTATACCACTCACTTATTTATCCATACCTCACCTATGCTATTTGTGCTTGGGGATCAACTGCAGCAACACACCTAAAGCCAATAATAACCCAGTAGACCAAAAACACTTACCTTCTTTAATATCAGTGCTGGTAGAGGTAGAAATATTGGTGCATGAACCATGACACCATTCCTGCCAAGGTAGCATTGTACTAAACATATTTTGCTTGAAGGCATTGTTACACTGTAGACAGTATTTCATCATTGCTGATATTATTCCAGTGATTGGTATAGAGTGAATTATAATTTCAATTTAACTATCAACTGACAGAAAAATATTGTAATATCTCGTGACCTTGAAAAATCTGGTAACAGTGTGTTTACACGTGCACTGTGCATTCCTGTACAATGTTCACAGCCCTATAAAAACAGGCACCTGTACTCCTTCCCCAACACATCCTGAGCACTACGTTATCTGACATCGATCTTATCAAACCACCAGCACTTGTAACCATAATGCTAAGGCAGTGTAGTTAAGAATTGTGTACAATGTGATTTAGGGCAATAGTTTAGCCTTCCAGGACAGGTAAATTAAGCAAATTTCCTTATTTCAATGTGTGTGTCACTGTGATGATGAAGGTGTAAAGCGTCGGGTTCCTCCCGACACTTTCTTCCCCCAGATCCTTTACTATCAACGAGTCATCGAAATATTTAGACCCGCCTCAGGACTCTGTTCTCACGATTATAACAACCCTCATTATCTTCTCCAGTACCACTCGTGAAAACTTATTACCAACGCATTCAATACCATCTCTGGGAATGTTAACATTCTCATTAAAAACATATGAAGGTAGATAATAATTATTGCGTCTTCAAACGAAATTAATAACAATTTTATGATTTTGTTGCAAACAATAATGTAAAGTTATTTAATTTGATATGGTGAGTTATGTTCACTGATATAATTAGCTAAGGTTAATCCTTAAACTCTCTAAACGTAGATATACGCAAGTAAACGTAAATCTATGCTTGGATAGTTGAAGGGTTAATGTATTATACTTTATAAATAACATCCACAAAAATTATAACACACTAATATCGACCACGAACACGTCAGCAGTCACGTACGGGTTAGTGTTCGAACTGGAAGTAAGTGTTTCAGTCCTCCATCGCCTTGGCTAGCTTGCTTCACATTCTAGACAGTCACGCTAGAATTTTCTGTAGTCCTGTATGCCCCGCATTCCCATTCTAGAACTAAGTTTTCATCTACTCTATTAGAACTATACAATTCAGTATATATGTACCTAGCTAGGTTCCATTTACACGAGCCTAGTGGCCACGTACCTCAACAAGGTCATTTCATACACCCATCCCACAAATATCGAAGTGTATTATTGTGTAATTATCAATTTAAATATTACATTCATTTTATTTAAAATTACAGAGGGTCTGTTATCTGAACCATACCCCCGGCCGGGATTGAACCCGCGGTCATAGAGTCTCAAAACTCCAGCCCGTCGCGCTAGCCACTATTATTATTATTATTATAATCAAGGGGGAAGCGCTAAACCCGGAGGATTATACAGCGCCTGGGGGGGGGGATGTGGAAGGCATTCAGGCTTAATTCGGGGAACTGGAGCTCAGATCCAATTCCCTAAATCAAGAGCCCCTCACCAACATCAAGGAACCTTCCTTGAGGGGCGCTAGCCACTAGACCAGCTAGCTGGTCTAGTGGCTAGCGCGACGGGCTGGAGTTTTGAGACTATGACCGCGGGTTCAATCCCGGCCGGGGGTATGGTTTATTTGCAATCGTGTCATTACGATTTCTTAAGTCATGTTGACGGCAGTGAAGGGACTTGAGCTAGAGTTCGTCACGGCCACGCTAGCTGGAGATTCGTCTGTAAAAACTTGCATTTGTGGTCACAGAGGTGCCTGTGCTAACTTTCCTATGGTGTAGAAATATACCTAGTTGGATGAATCTTATTGTGGCTAGCTGGTCTAGTGGCTAACGCGACGGGCTGGAGTTTTGAGACTCTATGACCGCGGGTTCAATCCCGGCCGGGGGTATGGTTTATTTGCAATCGTGTCATTACGATTTCTTAAGTCAGGTCTGTTATCTGTCATGTGTTTTAACCGCGTTTGAACTTATGCTTAAAAACGGCTATTATTAAAATGTAACTATTCGTTCACCTGTTTCCTGATTTCTTGCACTGTTTATTATGTGTTAGTTGGTTAGTTGCTGGATTTATTTTATCCATGTTTAATTATTCATCTGCATAATTATTCCAAGGTGGATTGCAGTTTGATTATTATAAGAACAAAAGAAAGAAGAACTGTAGCAGGCCTACTGGCCCAGGCTAGGCAGGTTCGAGATCAAGATCAAGAGGGTTTAAGGAAAAACCCTGTGGGGTGAGCTGGGAAGACGGGACAGGCAAAGAATAGCGCTGGTATTACAACCCAGGAACTTAAAAAACCTGTTATCCTGGGTGTATAGGGGAGCAAGGAGCAGAACAAACACAGCTGAATGACAAGGAATTATATTTTCCTTCAAGTGCGATTATAAGTATTTACAAGTATGTACACTATATACAGTTGGAAATGTATGTGCACAACACGGTAAAACAAAAGGCAAAGACATAGCCTGGAGACACGGTTACCCATAGAGTCTAAGGCTAACCATGGTCGGTGACACCTATGCTACTCTGAGACCTCTCTCCCTGCTTTGGTTGCTTCCTTGCAACATTGCACAGCTCCTGATGACGCACTGAGAAGAATGAAAGTATTTGAGCCAAAGATTTCCACCACCCCCCGTGGCTTATCCTGCATGCGCATATAATATATATAATATATATATATATATATATATATATATATATATATATATATATATATATATATATATATATGTCGTGCCGAATAGGCAGAACTTGCGATCTTGGCTTAAACAGCAATGCTCATCTTGCCATATAAGACAAGCGAAAATTTGTGTATGCAATAATTTCGCCAAAATCATTCTGAACCTAACGAAAAAAATATATTTCACTGTGTTTGTTTAGTATTAAATTATTGTAAACAAACCTAAAATATATTTAGTTGGGTTAGGCTAAAATAAATTGTTCTTGTTATAATAAGGTTAGGTAAGTTTTCTAAGATTCTTTTGGTGCAAAATTAAAATTTTTTACAGTAACATTAATGAAAAATAATATATCTTTAAACGTATAAGAGAAATTTTTAGAAAAAACTTAATTTTAAATGAGTTCTTGCTAATTGACCAGTTTTACATATTCGGCACGACATTATATATATATATATATATATACATTGGACCCTCGCATAACGATTACCTCCGAATGCGACCAATTATGTAAGTGTATTTATGTAAGTGCGTTTGTTCGTGTATGTTTGGGGGTCTGAAATGGACTAATCTACTTCACAATATTTCTTATGGGAACAAATTCGGTCAGTACTGGCACCTGAACATACTTCTGGAGTGAAAAATTATCGTTAACCGGGGGTCCACTGTAAATATATATATATATATATATATATATATATATATATATATATTGTACATATATGTACATTCATCTCCAGGTGATAACTGTTCCATGGATCACCTTAAGGGTAATGCGCCAAGAATCAACATCGATGGTAGACTCAGCCTCGTCAGATGTTATTGGGGTTACTTCTCTGCTGAGTTGCCCAAAGTGCAGCCCGTGGTAGCACCTGGCCACTATCATAATAATCCGCCTTTCGCCTAAACTGCTGCACTGTGTTCGATTTACACGACTCCCGATCTTTACGTCCAGGACATGCATGTTCCAGTGATCCATATCACACATCTTTTGCTGGCATTCCTACGCACTGCAAGCTGTCCGCTCTTCCTCCTCTATCCTTACGTGTTTTGTAGGCATCACGTATTTTATTAAAAGGGCACTGAAATAATTCGCTAGTTTCATTAAGACAGTATCAATGGCCATCCTGTTTTTTACCTGTGGCACCAAAACATTTTCTCTTAAGCCTAGTCACCAGCGATCTGGCGCTCTCTCACCTCTTGCTTCCAGGTGAGGATAACAATGGCAGCAATCCCATTCTTCCTATTGCATTGATAACTTGCGTGGTGTTAAGGTGCACATCCAAAGCTTGCATCAACCAGTACTGATCTCCAGGGAGCGAGTTCAAGTGATACTGGAACTATCGTCGATAGGCAAGAACATCGCAATCAATCACTTGTGATAGAAGCATTGTCCACGCCTAAACGAAAATCCTTAGGAAATTTAAACAATTTCCTAACCAAATTTTTAACCATCTTTTCTGCAGCTATTAGAGTGTCCTGAAACAACCAAGAACCATAGTGTGTATAATATCAGGAATAAAATGATTACTTACAATGTACATCCACTGCTGGGATTTCGACGGACCTTGATCGATATTGTTCAAGTTCAGCTGAAACTTGTCCATCACTGACTTTCCTCTTCCAGAAGAAGAGAAATGCATTCCTACATACTCATTAATTCCAATGGGGTCTAAGCGGCTTGACTGGAGTCTACTCTGATATCCGCCCAACCTTCAAAACTACATTCTCAAACTCTACTAGACTTCAACAAAACAATGCCATGACTATTCATCACTTTTTTTTTCACAGTCTTTAAACCTACAACATTACCCTTCATAAGAGAATGGTTTACTTATTATTGTATGACATACAACTATACCACCACACAACCAATATTAAAGTCTTCATTGCTCTATCACCAGCATAAGCACACCAGCTTCAAATTATCACAAATAACCGAGCTACCAGTATTAAATGCAACCAAATATAATTACCAAAATATAATAACTCGCCAGTCACAATAGAGATTGAGAGGGAAAGAAAGGAAACCTTGATGGTAACAGGAAAATGTCGAGAATGCAATGAGGGCTCAGAATATTGTGGCAGAAGTGAATAACAATGAAGATCGTGTGACATACAAATTCTTACGTACCTGTAGATAGGAGCCCCAATACCATCCTTGTACCAGAGAACGAGAACAACACGATCACTGGTGTCCACAGTGACCACGTCACACGCCAACTTTGCTCTTCCTCCCTCCACTACATGTGCTATGAACAAGGGTCCAGCTGAAACATAAGGATAAAATCTCATATTAATCTCTTACACATAAACTGAAATATAATTATATTTTCAAATAATTATGTACGTGAGTGTGTTTTGTATTAAAGATTGCACTTATTATAGTCTGCGTTCGAGTACATCATCCTAACCAATAATTACCAGCATTACTAGTTTCCGCCCTCTTCAGGTGTATCTTATTTACTTTTCTAAAACCTATAAAGTTTGACTTCACTTTCCTCACTCTTAAAAACCTAACACGAAAGGCCTATTAAGCATTTTTTTTTTATATTTTATTGAAAAACGCAATACACAATTATACATGTAGACAATGTAAGCAATGAAACGTACATCTTATATATAACAAAAGAAAACTCCACATTCCCTACCGTAGCACTAAACTTATACATAAGAAAACACACGTTCAACTAAAAAATTTTGATACTCCCCCCCCCAAAAAAAAAAAAACCCAACCATCACACATAACATACATTTAACTAAACTAAAGACAGCCCACAGCTTCATATACAGGTGGGTTTATTACATCCAAAATTGCAGCCATAAACACAATATGCAATATAACCCAAAGAATGTCACAGGTATTGACATTTTACATAAAACTGTATGTACGAAGACATTCTCAGTTATCCAAAAATTCTTTACACACTTATTATTGTTGTATATTAAACTTCATATCAAATACATAATCCATAACACCTCAATAATTACGAAACAAATAAAGGTTAGAAAATAACAATGTCCACACCTCACCACAGAAAAACTAAACACAGTATAATATAACAAATGATTCGTCCCACCTCACTTCCATACACTACATTCGTCCCACCTCACTTCCATACACTACATTCGTCCCACCTCACTTCCATACACTACATTCGTCCCACCTCACTTCCATACACTACATTCGTCCCACCTCACTTCCATACACTACATTCGTCCCACCTCACTTCCATACACTACATTCGTCCCACCTCACTTCCATACACTACATTCGTCCCACCTCACTTCCATACACTACATTCGTCCCACCTCACTTCCATACACTACATTCGTCCCACCTCACTTCCATACACTACATTCGTCCCACCTCACTTCCATACACTACATTCGTCCCACCTCACTTCCATACACTACATTCGTCCCACCTCACTTCCATACACTACATCATCCCACCTCACTTCCATACACTACATTCGTCCCACCTCACTTCCATACACTACATTCGTCCCACCTCACTTCCATACACTACATTCGTCCCACCTCACTTCCATACACTACATTCGTCCCACCTCACTTCCATACACTACATTCGTCCCACCTCACTTCCATACACTACATTCGTCCCACCTCACTTCCATACACTACATTCGTCCCACCTCACTTCCATACACTACATTCGTCCCACCTCACTTCCATACACTACATTCGTCCCACCTCACTTCCATACACTACATTCGTCCCACCTCACTTCCATACACTACATTCGTCCCACCTCACTTCCATACACTACATTCGTCCCACCTCACTTCCATACACTACATTCGTCCCACCTCACTTCCATACACTACATCATCCTACAAGTGAACAAACACTACATCATCCCACAAGCGAACAAACACTACATCATCCCACAAGCGAACAAACACTACATTCATCCCACAAGTGAACAAACACTACATTCATCCCACAAGTGAACAAACACTACATTCATCCCACAAGTGAACAAACACTACATTCATCCCACAAGTGAACAAACACTACATTCATCCCACAAGTGAACAAACACTACATTCATCCCACAAGTGAACAAACACTACATCATCCCACAAGCGAACAAACACTACATTCATCCCACAAGCGAACAAACACTACATTCATCCCACAAGCGAACAAACACTACATTCCCAATCCCACAAGCGAACAAACACTACATTCATCCCCCAAGCGAACAAACACTACATTCATCCCACAACGAACAAACACTACATTCACCCCCAACGAACAAACACTACATTTTCCCACAAGCGAACAAACACTACATTCATCCCACAAGCGAACAAACACTACATTTATCCCACAAGCGAACAAACACTACATTCATCCCACAAGCGAACAAACACTACATCATCCCACAAGCGAACAAACACTACATTCATCCCACAAGCGAACAAACACTACATTTATCCCACAAGCGAACAAACACTACATCATCCCACAAGCGAACAAACACTACATTTATCCCACAAGCGAACAAACACTACATTCATCCCACAAGCGAACAAACACTACATTTATCCCACAAGCGAACAAACACTACATCATCCCACAAGCGAACAAACACTACATCATCCCACAAGCGAACAAACACTACATCATCCCACAAGCGAACAAACACTACATTCAACCCACAAGTAACAAACACTACATTCATCCCACAAGTGAACAAACACTACATTCATCCCACAAGTGAACAAACACTACATTCATCCCACAAGTGAACAAACACTAAATTCATCCCACAAGTGAACAAACACTACATCATCCCACAAGCGAACAAACACTACATTCATCCCCCAAGCGAACAAACCACATTCATCCCACAAGCGAACAAACACTACATTCATCCCACAAGCGAACAAACACTACATTCATCCCACAAGCGAACAAACACTACATTCATCCCACAAGCGAACAAACACTACATTCATCCCACAAGCGAACAAACACTACATTCATCCCACAAGCGAACAAACACTACATTCATCCCACAAGCGAACAAACACTACATTCATCCCACAAGCGAACAAACACTACATTCATCCCACAAGTGAACAAACACTACATCATCCCACAAGCGAACAAACACTACATCATCCCACAAGCGAACAAACACTAAAATTCATCCCACAAGCGAACAAACACTACATCATCCACAAGCGAACAAACACTACATCATCCCACAACGAACAAACACTACATTCATCCCACAACGAACAAACACTACATTCATCCCACAAGCGAACAAACACTACATCATCCCACAAGCGAACAAACACTACATCATCCCACAAGCGAACAAAAACTACATCACCCACAAGCGAACAAAAACTAACATTCATCCCACAAGCGAACAAACACTACATCATCCCACAAGCGAACAAACACTACATCATCCCACAAGCGAACAAACACTACATTCATCCCACAAGCGAACAAACACTACATCATCCCACAAGCGAACACTACATCATCCCACAAGCGAAAAAAACACTACACATCCCACAAGCGAACAAACACTACATTCAATCCCACAAGCGAACAAACACTACATCCCCCCAAGCGAACAAACACTACATCATCCCACAAGCGAACAAACACTACATCATCCCACAAGCGAACAAACACTACATCATCCTACAAGCGAACAAACACTACATCATCCTACAAGCGAACAAACACTACATCATCCCACAAGCGAACAAACACTACATCATCCTACAAGCGAACAAACACTACATCATCCTACAAGCGAACAAACACATCATCCCACAAGCGAACAATACATCATCCCACAGCGAACAAACACTACATCATCCCACAAGCGAACAAACACTACATCATCCACAAGCGAACAAACACTCACATCCTACAAGCGAACAAACACTACATCATCCCACAAAGCAACAAACACTACATCATCCTACAAGCGAACAAACACTACATCATCCCACAAGCGAAAAAACACTACATAATCCCACAAGCGAACAAACACTACATCATCCCACAAGCAAACACTACATCCCACAAGCGAACAAACACTACATCATCCCACAAGCAAACAAACACTACATCCCACAAGCGAACAAACACTACATCATCCCACAAGAGAACAAACACTACATCATCTTACAAGCGAACATACACTACATCATCCCACAAGCGAACAAACACTACATCATCCAACAAGCGAACACTACATCATCCCACAAGCGAACAAACACTACATTCATCCCACAAGCGAACAAACACTACATCATCCTACAAGCGAACAAACACTACATCCTACAAGCGAACACTACATCCTACAAGCGAACACTACATCATCCTACAAGCGAACAAACACTACATCCTACAAGCGAACACTATATCATCCAACAAGCGAACAAACACTACATCCTACATGCGAAAAAACACTACATCATCCTACAAGCGAACAAACACTACATCATCCCACAAGCGAACAAACACTACATCATCCTACAAGCGAACAAACACTACATCATCCTACAAGCGAACAAACACTACATCATCCCACAAGCGAACACTACATCATCCTACAAGCGAACACTACATCCTACAAGCGAACAAACACTACATCATCCCACAAGCGAACACTACATCATCCTACAAGCGAACAAACACTACATCCTACAAGTGAACAAACACTACATCCTACAAGTGAACAAACTACATCCTACAAGCGAACAAACACTACATCCTACAAGCGAACAAGCACTACATCCCACAAGCGAACAAACACTACATCCCACAAGCGAACAAACACTACATCCCACAAGCGAACAAACACTACATCCTACAAGCGAACAAACACTACATCCTACAAGCGAACACTACATCCTACAAGGGAACACTACATCATCCCACAAGCGAACAAACACTACATCATCCTACAAGCGAATAAACACTACATCCTAAAAGCGAACACTACATCATCCTACAAGCGAACACTACATCCTACAAGCGAACAAACACTACATCCTACAAGCGAACAAACACTAAATCATCCTACAAGCGAACATACACTACATCCCACAAGCGAACAAACACTACATCATCCTTCAAGCGAACACTACATCATCCTACAAGCGAACAAACACTACATCATCCCACAAGCAAACAAACCACTACTTCATCCCACAAGCGAACACTACATCCTACAAGCGAACAAACACTACATCCTACAAGC